TTTTTTTTTTTTTTTTTTTTTTGGCACGAAAATTAATTCTGGTAAACATGAAAAGAGCGACAGAAATAATGCATCGACCATAAGAAATATCTAAAATGAAACATACGATTAACGGCAAAGTCGGCGAATAAAGAATCGTTTGTGCCTTCAATCAAGGATGTTGAAAGGTTTGCACTTTCTTAGGAAACTGAAATCGCGACGACAGCGCTGCAAAGAGGACCGATTTAAAATTCCATCATGGAAGTCTTTGACAGGTGGCTCCGGGTACGGGGGAAACCGCCACATCTGTCTTCCTTGCGGTGGCTAAAATTTCGTAACCACCACAGTGGTTAGGCGCAAGAGTTTCACCCGTTTTGTGGACGATCGCGCGAAATGAAGCGGTAGGACGGATTCTGCCCTCGTTTTTGGGCCACTCGATGCATTTTCACCCATGGAAACTGGCCAATGGCACGGATACCAAGGTGGGAGGTCCTCGAGGCTTATGACAAAACTTTCGCCGCACTGCGGATTCTATTGATTTTCCTCGCCACGCTAGGGTACGGGCTCACTGTTCCCGTCCGAGCAGGGTGTAAATAAACAAGAAAACTCACCTCCGAAATTATTCAACTCTTTGTCATTTTATCCATGACTTTTTACATTTTATTAATCCCTTGTTTCCTTTATTTATTTAACAATTTTTATCCGATTATTCCTCCCTTTAAGCGAATTTACCAGTTGACCACTTTCGAATATAATTCCGAATTTTTGAAATATTTTAATTTTTGTTTTCTTTTAATCGTCTTTCTAAACAAAAAAGTAATTAATCGTTGTTTCGAAATTCGTGTCTTTTCAAATAGTACAAGAGTTTTATCCTATCGGTAAAAGTTAAATTAAATCCAACGAAACAATATTACTGGGACAAAGAACCCATATCTCGTTCCTCTGAATTACAAGCAATTATGATATATATATATTCGTGCTTTCTTTTTTTTTACGTAACGTATTGAATATTATAATCGAATGTAAATTATTTTAATCTTTGGTCAGGCTAATTAACTGTTTCTCAGCGTGATTCATTGATACTTCAGAGGAAGCGGAGAAAGGGTGAAGAAACGCGGCAGGACGATAGAAATCGCGTAGCCGAGGCACCGATTGCCAAATCAATCACCCTCCTTTCGAAGGATGAAGAGGGAGGGAGAGAGAGAGAGAGAGAGAGAGAGAAAGAGAAAGGGAGCCGGAAGTGTGGATGACAGTCGCGAAGAAAACCACCCCGTGCTAGATCGATCGTGACACCAAAGATGGAAGGATGGGTTGGAGGAGGCTGGCATACGGTGATCGGTGGTTTTAAATTCGTGGTTTTTCCACGTACCTTCGTCTGACGGATGCGAGACTCCGTCGAAGATCTCCTTGCACACGATCGTGGCTGCGCTTTCCTGAGAAATACTCATGCTAGCACGAACAGCCGATTTCCAGGTGCAGGAGGTTCACATAACACGTCAAACGTGGACGTGCCTGGGCCACGGACGATCAACGGAATAGCCGCGTGGACCGATAAACGTCATTTTACTCGCAACGACGAGACGCGTGCACGCGAAACTTTCGCTCCGCCGACGAGGCCTGTCCGACGACAGTCAATGTTCAATCCGACTTGAACGTAGGCGGTGGAAGGAGGAGCGAGCACGAAACGTGCAGCGCCCTCGGTAGCCTGACCTCGAACTAGGCCAATGATAAGGAAACGAGTTACAGCCAGCGGCAACTGTCTTATCGATTAACCGAAAAACACCGATGCCGTTCTTGTTGGCATCGCCGCGCGGGAAATATATCTCGATCCAGAATGTACGAGTTCTGATCTTTTTTTTTCTTTTCTTTTCTTTTTTTTCACCCCTCTTTTTTTTCCCCAATAATTTCTAGGTTGATTCGCGTCAAAGAGAATTGGAGTGGAACGCATCGCTTCTATGTGCGATCTAGGGAATGGAACGATGAGATGAAGATGACTCGTTTGCGAGTGCCACTTTGACTTATTTTTGTCGTTTTTGTTCGCTTTCATTTTTTTTTTTTTTTAATGAAATTTAAATTGTTTTTTTATGATCAATGGATTGTCACTGAACATTATTACATTATTATGATATTTTAGAATCGTAGAAATGAATCTTATGTGTGAAAAATAGGTCTCATATTTGGACCTGAATGATTTCCTCGTGTTAAACAAAGGAGCTTGTTTCTTTTTTTTTTTAGGATTTTAACGTGATAGATATTATTAAAACTCAAAGATTGAATATAAACGTATTATATATAAATGAATGAATAATGTATCATTGCATCGACATTATAAATGTAATCAATTGTTATTGGGAAATGGATGGAACTTATTTTTAGTTCCATTCATTAATGAATAGAATTATGGCTTGAAATTTATATTAATTTTTAAATATTCGATATTTATATTTTATCAATTATCGTCTAAAAATTAGTAAGAACGATCGTAGCGCCAATATTAACCAATACTAAACTTCTAGAGAATAAGAGGTTTCTTCTTTGTCGGCGGTTTATGATAAAGAAGTTTCCCCTAGACGTATATTCTCAAATAAAATAAAAAAAAAACATTCTAATTATAGAAATATGTTTTTTTTTTCTATCAATAGTGCATTAATATTTATATTATTTGTTATATAAATTGCAAAATTGCACATAATCAAATCGTTATATTTGACTGTTCACAGTAGAGATGGCGCCAACGTATGCTTAAATATCTTGAAAATTCATCTCTTTTACCGTAGATTACTAACGACGGTTTAGTAAATTATTTTATTACCAAATGCACAAATTTTATAAATTACATTAAACTTTAATCACGTTCATTCAATGAATATTCAATTTTTACATATTTAAGACGTTTAACTATTTATTTATGCAATATGCGATATTATATTTTGACTTCGTTATGAGAAGTACTTAAATATTTTTTAATATTATTATGCAAATGCATACAAACTTTAAAAAATAAAATAATTACGAAAACAGAAAGAATAAGCGCATATTAGTATCGCGAAATTCAATATTATAAATTATATTTAACCATTCAATAGGAATTACATATCCATATTTTTTTAATTTATGAATTAAATTTATAACGAGAGTTTTTTTAAATTTTAAACAATATAGATTTAAGAAATATAAAATACATATTAAAATTTTACACTAAAAGAGTAAAATTCTGAACAATAAAATCCATAAAAATTAGCAATAGAAAGTATCATTAATAAATTCGTCGTAATAAATAGTAATTTTATTATGAGATATCGATAAATATCTATATTAATAGCAAATAAAAATCATACAATTTGAAACAAGAATCAATCGTTAATAAAACAAAAAATTTTTTCGTTGAAACACAATTCACTTAAACGCACAAAAATCAC